GCAACACAGAACAACTGCTATCAATCTGCATTCAGCAGCTACTACGCTGTCAGATACTGCATAATATTTATTCATCATGTACCTTTAATCGTTCCTTTTACATTCCTCATCATGCTGTGCTTTTTAAAACCCAACAGACACTAAAATAAGCTAACAATGGCATAATGAGGGTGACAGATGGATAGATAGAACCGTCTAATTATAGGTCACTGAAGAGACAGTTTTCCTAAAAATTAAAAATTGTCACCTTACACAAATTATTTTACACCATGACTTACTTTCATCTGTATCCCTGCTGTAAAATCCAGCTAAAACCAGCTAAGACCAACCTGACTAACTAAGACCAGCTAAAAAGTGGCCAAACCCCCTCTTAAACCAGCCTGCCAAACCAGCTTGGGTGACCAGCTAAAACCAGCCTGGCCAGCTTGGGCTGGTTTTGGCTGTTTGTTTTTTTTTTCAGTAGGATAACATAAGGGAAAATTTTTTTGATTAGCAACTTAGTCATTATAAATGCTAACACAATGCTATGGAGACAAAGCTAACATGCTACACACTGCTAATTTGAAATGCAAATGATGGAAGCCAGCTATCAGCTATTTTGGTTGTGTTACAGTAACTATTAATTTCTTTCATCAACATGAAACACAAACGTTTTATTCAACATGAGGGAAACTTTTTTTTTTTTTTTTTGGATCTGCTAATTAGATAATTAGAAATGCTAACACATGCTATGCTGAAATGCTAACACGATACACACTGCTAATGATACAGCCAGCTATCTGAATATAACATTCCATTATTTATGAACAAATAATAAATCAACAGCAGATTTGCACATTTTTGTTTTATTAAATATTTATTAATTTGATAAAATTGCAGATAAATTTCTGTAGACGTAGGGATAAAGGGTAAAGCCACCTATCTGCACATTAGTCAACATTTTAGTTGTATTAACTATTTCTTTCTTTCATCAGTATAACATGAAGCACAAAAGTTTGATTTAAAATGAGGAGAGGTTTTGGATGTTAGAAAAGCTAGCACAATGCTGTGCTGACAATGCTAGCACGCTAATGATAATTACAAATGTGAATGATAAAGGCAGCTATCTGATTATAGCATTTCATCATTTATTATAATACATTTTAACAGAGTTTTATCTTATTTTGTTAACGGTTGTTAACAAAGGTTAATAAATGCAATTACAAATAATTTTTTATTGTTATATATTGAATAATTTAATCGTAACATATGAATTTACACGAAAGTGTTAAAAACATGAAAAAATTCATAGTGATATATTTCATAATAGGTTTATTTATTTAATAAAAATATTAAAACGAAAACGTATAGATATATGAAAGCTTGTTTACTCAGTAGAACAAAAAGCAAAAAAATAAAAAATAAATCCTCAGAAATTACACTTTTTAAAAATTCACAGAAATTGGCAGATAAAAAGTTTAATTGTGAGTGTGAGATGTCTCACAGTTGATACATTTCACAGAAGGAAATACAGTTGAAGTCAGATTTATTAGCCTTCCTGAATTATTAGGCCCCCTGTTAATTTTTTCCCCATTTTCTGTTTAACAGAAAGAACATTTTCTCAACACATTTCTAAACATAATAGTTGTAATAACTCATTTCTAATAACTTATTTATTTGCCATGAAGACAGTAATTAATATTTGACTAGATATTTTTCAATATTTCTATACAGCTTAAAGTGACATTTAAAGGCTTAACTGGGTTAATTAGGTTAACTAGGCAGGTTAGGGGAATTAGGCAAGTTATTGTATAATGATGGTTTGTTCTGTAGACTATCGAAAAAATATATAGTTTATATATAAGAGGCTACTGATTTTGAACTTAAAATGGATTAAAAAAAATTGAAAACTGCTTTTATTCTAGCTGAAATAAAACAACAAAGACTTTCTACAGAAGAAAAAATCTTATCAGACATACTGTGAAAATTTCCTTGCTCTGTTAAACATCATTTGGGAAATATAAAAAAGAAAAAATATATATATATAAAGGGGGGCTAATAACTCTAACTTCAACTGTAAACTTGCAATTACGAGGAATCCTTTCTCAGTATTGCAAAATATAAACCTATTTTAATGTAATACTGTTTGTTTATTTATTTATTTGTAGAGATTTTGGCTTTTTTTTAACCATAATTGCATTTTTGTTTGTTTTGAGGCCGTGGATCATCTACTAAATGTAATGTGCCCTTGCTGAAATTAGATTAGATAAATAGAAGACATGTTTGCTAATTGGTTAAAATCTTATCAATCTTTCATATACACTAATCATACCCTTCCACAACTGTTCCCAACATTAATAATAAATGGATAACAACAAATCAGAATTACAGCAACAATCTATGCAAGAAGGTCGCTGGTTCAAGCCCTGGTTGGATCAATTGGCGTTTCTTTGTGGAGTTTACATGTTCTCCCCACGTTGGCGTGGGTCTCCTCCAGGTGCTCTGGTTTCCCCCACAGGAACATGCGCTAGGTGAATTAAACTAAATTGACCATAGCGTATAAATGTAAATAAATAAATAAGTTTATGGGTGTTTCCTAGTACAGGGTTGCAGCTGGAAGGGCATCCATAGTGTAAAACATATGCTGGATAAGTTATCGCTTCATTCCGCTGTGGAGACCCCTGATGAATAAAGAGACTAAGCCAATGGAAATTAAATGAACTAAATTATTGGTACCTGTCATTAAATCACAAACAATGCATTCACTCATAGAGTACACAAGAACCATAAAAACAATAACCTTTTTCAAATTCTGCTATAAAACTGGATAACTTCCGAAAACTGAAAACGAATGCCTGAAGAACAGACAGAGCTAGGTTTTTATCAAATGTGAGGTTTGCCAGTTTATTGTTTGTATAGTGATGAAGACTCACACAGATCCTGGTCTCTGATAGCCATTAGTAGAGCTGTTGTTGTCCAGCTTTCTCCGCAGAAGTGCTTTAGGTGGCAGATCGAGGCAGGTGGTGGATTTGGAGCCGTCGACACACGCCAGACTATGCACAGAGCCTGCAAAACTCTTACACACTCCTGAAAGAAAACACAACAGATACACACATGATCAGTAAAGGTTGATTCGATGTTTAGGTCTATTTTAACAACAGTAGAAAAGAAGAAATCTGCATATAGTTTTGTAAAGATAAGGTTGCCAGTACCATCAGAAGAATAGTTTTTTTTTGATCTACTAGGATTTTGTTTATATCCATACATTATATATTTGCTATTTTTAAATACATTTTCACATGGTAAATCAATAACAATTGAAACCGTAGCATTATTTCAAGTGCAGTCTATGAGATTTGTTGTAGAAAAGAATAAATCTGTGTACCGTTTAGTAAAGATAATACAATATGTCCTTGCTGAAAAAAATCCCAATTCTACCCCTTAGGAGTAGGGGTGTCCCAGTTCTCTTAGGGCGTACTCACACTATGCTATCCGAACCATGCCCAGGCCCGTTTCCTGGATCGGTTGAGAAGTATGAGTGCGCTAAATCAAGCGCAGTTCACTTGGGCTTTAGCGCGGTACGCTTGTAGTGTGAGTGCAAAACGCGCCAAAGCCCGAAACTGAAAGCAAGACATGACTTTTAAGGGACTGTTTAATATGGATTTATTAATCATTCTACAGTTCAATAAACGCAAACTGTCAAAGTTTAATTAAAGACGCAAACCCCTCACTGCACCACAGCTGCGCACCTTCAGCAAACCTCCTAATTCATGCAGCACCAGGACTTTATGATTGTTTATGAGCGTCAAACGTGGTGAATCTGTTCCGCAGAATATTTGACTGTGTGTCACTGCATCCCAAACGACTAAAACAGTATAACTGGAGAAATCTCCACTCTGCTGAGCGAGCTTCTTTACTGAAAAGTGCAGCATCGATGACGTGCCCAGGCCCGAATGTAATGTGAGTGCGGGCCGTCGAGGGAGACGGGAGGGGGGACAAGCGTGCTTTGGCCCGGTTCAAGGCAACTGTACATAGTGTGAGTACGGCCTTAAGCTTGAAGTCATAGGGCTAAGGGGAAGGGGTAGATAGCCCTCGAAAGATAGATTTTTTCAGGACCAAATTGAAACCAAGGGGTAAGAAAATTTCCCAGAATACACCTCCTACAACGACTGCGTAGCTGCACACTGAAGTATGGAGATCCACAAATAAGTGTTTTTTTGTCATTATTATTAATTTTTTCAACAAACAAGCACGTTTTAATAAATTCATAACGCCGTTCGTGTTTTACCGTCATGCTTGAAAAAAAAAGAAGACAATTATAGACGTTATCTATAATTCAAAATAATAACTCTTGTATAGCAGTCCCACAACATACTTTCACATCTATCACTCGATGACACTCGAATACCCTGAAAAGTTTGGTTACCGGGAATGAGCTTTTTACAGTGTCTGGTATAATGTTAATGTTGTTTTCGTGTGTTTACATAAATTAATATGGCCCCGGTGTAAATACACAATACAGTTATGATCTTATTGTCACATTATACTGTGTGATTAGGCATGGAACGATAATTATTTCCAAGGTGTACTGCAGTTTGGAAAAGTGAAGGTTTTAAAACCATCAAAATCTTCTGTAATACAGTTCACATAGTATGTGTGTATGTTTATGTTTTTTAAATTAAATGTTTAAAAAATTTTTTAGGACAACAGTATCTCCAGCAGAAAAGATATCCAAAGAAGCCGTTTTAAATTGTAAAAAACAAATGAAGACAGCAGATGTCAATAATTCATTTAGCCTGACATCTTTACTGTTCCAAAATATTTTAAATGTTACTCAAAATGAAAGACTGTGTTCAAAAGGGGTAAAAAAGTTTTTGTTTTTTACCCAGACATTTAAAAAAGATATAATTTAGAGCAGTAATCACAATACCGCGAAACCATGATATTTAATCCACGATTATCAATCTTATACCGGCCCCTGTCTAGTTATAATAACAAAATATGTGCCTTCAGGGATTTCCTAAAGATAAATACCAAATAATATTGCAACTGTAATAATTACAGATGACGTATGCAGTGGTGTCCTATTCCTTAGGAGTAAATTTTGAAGCCCTTCCCATTCACACTCTGTTTCAAGGGCCAAGTTTACAAAAATAGAATTGGGATTGGGCCTAAGTCACACAAACGTTTTAAACACTAATAGGAATAAATTGCTAGCAGCCTATCAAAATCAGCATTCCAGAAATCGTTTTTTAATAGCAGCCAATCAGAATCAGCATATCAGAATGGGACGTGACAAAGACTGGAGAAATCACAAAAATAAATAACAGGAACGGATTAAAAAGTAATATTTCTATTTTACAGTACTTTGCTCAAATACAGTTGAAGCCAAATTTATACGCCCTCCTGTGATTTATTTTTTTAAATATTCCCCAAATTATGTTTAATAGGGCAAGGAATTTTTCACAGTATTTCCTATGATATTTTTTCTTCAGAAGAAAGTCTTATTTGTTTTATTTCGGCAAGAATAAAAGCAGTTTTTAATTTTTTAAAAGCATATTAAAGGTCAATATTATTACCCCCCCTTAAGCAATATTTACTTTTAGACTGGCTACAGAACAAACCATTGTATACAATAACTTGCCTAATTGGGACAACTTGCCTATAGTTATCCTAATTACCCCTTTACATTGCACTTTAAGTTGAATACTAGTGCATTGACAAATATCTAGTCCAACATTATGTACTATCATCATGGCAAAGATAAAAGAAATCAGTTATTAGAGTTATTAAAACTATTATGATAAGAAATGTATTAAAGTAATTTTTGTTAAACAGTATGTTTTGTATTTAATATAAATTAAAGAATGAAAATCTTAACAGGAGGGCTATAAACCCTGACTACAACTGTTTATGAGTCACAAAAGACATCAAAAATCATACTGACTCCATGCTGTAGTACATATTTAGTCTCCTACCTTCAGTTAAGTGTAGTGATCTCAGAGACTGAGCAATGGAGCGGTTCAGCTGTGCATGAGGAGCTTTAGTAGGAGCTGTTGTAGACCTGATGTTCCCCCTGAAGGACTCATCTGCAGGACAGTCCTGCTCTCTGGAGCTGGAGTCTGGGCTGCTGGTGCCGGCGGGGCCCTGCGGCTCACTGGAGGAGCGGGAAAAAGGGCTCCGCGGCCCGGGGAAGGGGGGCTTGTCCTTGTGCTGCGGAGACGAACAGGTTTTGGAGGAGCTGTTCTGCTCAGAGGAGTGGGAGGAGAGCGAGTCCATGCTGCCGATAGGAGTGCTGCCTGAACTACTGCTGAACGTGTCACCTGTCGGACAGAGCATAGATAATACAGCATAGATTGTAAGCTATAAATTGATCACTTTACGTGATCAGCAACAATGACAAAAATACACTGTAAAGATATCTGTAAATTAGCAGTTTTTGTTATTTAGGATTTATTTTCCCCCATTTATTTGTGCTTTTGAATTTCATTAGGGGACCTTGATCTTTCTTTCGACTACTTTTAACCTTTAAAAGCGTTTTTTTTTTCCTTATCAGTGCAAAGGACAATAAGAATACTGTTTATTTTGGTCACAGATCATTGTAATGTTTTCTTTGAACAAAAGAACATAATAATTTTCACATAATTGTGAAGAAAATATTCTAGACTAAGGCCCATTCAGTGTCTTTTTTAGGCCTTATTCCAGCTACTTTTTTCTCCAACACTTAATAACCACGCATAGTATGTATATTTTCTAAAAAGCGCACACATACATATTTCTCTCATTTTAGTATAGCAGTTTGTGCTTAGTAAAAACACACACACACACATATATATATATATATATATATACATTTATTACAATTTTTTGTTTTACTTTTTTATCCATATTGTTAAAACAAACATACCAACACAAAACAGTACAGACAGTCACATATAACTATTATATTAGGTTCATCATATTTATTAGACTGAAAAGGTCCCATGGTGTATCATTTTATTTAGATGATACAAAGCATGTTATGTTTATTACAGTTAATGTGTAATCAATATTTATCATAGTTATAATAGTAAACATATCTTTCCCACATGTTCTAGCATTGTCCTGTTAAATCACAGCTACTATCACACCACAGAAAATGATCCAATTAATAATAAAAGGCTTGAGCCATTTGTAGTAGACTAATGCAGTAATTAATTCACTGCAATAATGGCTCTTCCTGCACTTCTCTAATGTTATTGATCTCCAGGTTCAGGTCTTCATGGCTAATTCAGTGTTTTGTATGCTCACAGCTCCCTCTGTTGGTGAAAATAACCACTACACAGCTTTTTTGGGGGAAAAAACGTACATTGGCCACAAGAGCTTAATAAAACACACGCACGCAGGCACACACGCAGGCACGCACGCAGGCACGCACGCAGGCACGCACGCACACACACACACACACACACACACACACACACAAACACAAACACAAACACAAACACAAACACACACATAAAAAAAAAAAAAACATCTGTTGCACAAGCGTCTTACTAGAAAAAGCGTGAAGTGTGACATTATACACCTCCAAAAATAAATAAAATTTATATCACGCTAAAATACCATTTGGATAAAACACTCCCTTCAAACTGAAAGTATCCATTTTGTAAGGCACTTGTTGAATTTGAACAAACGTTTTATGTGAACTCATGAAATGTGCAGTGCGGTGGGGCTGGGATTGAGAAACTTTAAGTCAATTCTACTGGGGTCAAAATATTAAAGGAAACGTTAAATGTTAGAGAGCGAAGTGGCTGTTCTATCATCAGTGAATGTGTGAGGATGACTGGTGGTCAGACACTCACTGTCAGCGTCCGCCAGGCACAGTGAGGGGGTGTAGAGGCTCCTGGGTTTGCGTGGGCCCGATGTCAGACCGATGGCTCTGCTCCTGCGGGACTCCGGACGGGACAGAGGCTGCAGCAGGGGAACATTAGGGTCTGGTGCTTGATGAAATATCTGTCAAAACACAGATATAAAGGAACTATATAAGATTATAACTGATGACAAAGGAATTCAAAAGGTAGTTGGAAATATAATGTACAGCACTGTATGTGTAATATACAGTAATGCTATTAGCCCTCCTGTAAAAATTGTTTATATATTTTTTAATATTTTGTAAGTGATGTTTAGCAGAGGCTCACAGTATTTGCTACAATATTTTTTTTTCTTCTGGATAAAGTCTTAATTCTTTTTAATATGGTTGAAATCAAAGCAGTTTTTACATTTATTTAAACAAGGTCAATATTATTAGTCCTGTTAGGAAAGGATGATATTAAAAGGCTTATTTTTTATTTGGCTACTAAACAAACTATTGTTGTCTAATGACTTTCCTGATTAACTTGCCTAGTTAACCTAATTAGCCAGGTTAAACCTTTAAATTGCACTTTCAGCTGAATACTAGAATCTTGCAAAAATAACTTAAAAAAAGTCATGGCAAAGACAAAATAAAGCAATTATTTAAAGTATTATGATGAAAAAAATCTGGTCTTCGTTAAACGGGACTTGGAAATATTTCAAAAAGATTTCAAATTTTAAGTAATAATTTTGACTTCAACTGTACAATTAAAGGAACAATATTTACAAAATTTGTATGCATTTAATATAGCGTGTTTAAATTAAAATAATTATAATAATATATAATAATTTAATTAAAAGTCATATAAAAACCCTTAGAATTAGTCAATTAAAAAAACCTTTTATTTACAAGAATGCATTAGAGTCATAAAAAATGTTTCCAAAATATCATATTTAAATATGCAAATGAGGAATTTAATTATATAAAATCATAATTTATGCAGTCAAAAGCATAATTAATGTCAGGGTTAATTTTTTTTTTCTTTTTACATTTAAACTTTTTTTATTTCAACGTTATATTTTATAATTAACTTTGATTGATTAATTAATTTGATAATTAAAAATACTGAACAGTCATCTTAATCAACTGGTCTAATATTAATATGGATTACGTGTTTCTTACAAGTGTATAGTGTGAATTATATTTAAATCACAATTGCCTTTTCCAAATTTTCGATGAGAATTTCCACCACGATATTTTGGAATTTGATGTTCATCATGGCAGCAACGGTTTCCTCTTGTGAGCGCATCAGTGTGGGGCCGAAGATCACCCCCAGATTAGACACCGTCATCATGTTACTCTCACTGTGACTGGAAACACTGCAGGGACACATGACACAAATAATACTTCAATACCCCAGAAATCCTTTCACAGAGAGCTTGTTTAACATGTAATCTATAAACCACAATGTTATATAATTCTGTGCTGTTACTAGATGATGGTACTTTTAAAATGACACTAGTACTTATTCATTAGTATCATATTATCATTGTATTATAGTATCATATTAGTATCAGTGCTTCCCACAAGTTCGAAATATGCTTTTATAAAAAAAGTGTAAAAGAATCAGAGTGCGCATTACAAGTAATAATAATAATAATTCCTTACATTTATATATCGCTTTTCTGGACACTCAAAGCGCTTTACACAATGGGGGGAATCTCCTCATCCACCACCAGAGTGCAGCGTCCACCTGGATGACGCAACGGCAGCCATTTTTGCGCCAAACCGCACACCACACACCAGCTGATTGGTGGAGAGGAGACAGAGTGATGAAGCCAATTATGAAATGGGGAGGGTTAGGAGGCCATATTGGACAGAGGCCAGTAAGCAGATTTGGCCAGGATGCTGGGGTTAAATCCCAAGTCTTTTTCGAAGGACATGCTGGGATTTTTAACGACCACAGAGTCCCCGTCACTATACTGGGGCATTAGGACCCACAAAGACTGCAGGTTGAGCGCCACCTTCTGGCCTCACTAACACCACTTCCGGCAGCAACCTAGCTTTCCCATGGGGTCTCCCATCCAGGTACTGCCCGTGCGCAGCCCTGCTTGGCTTCAGTGGGTGACCAAGAGAGAGTTGCAGAGAGCTAGCTGCTGGCACGAGTTTGGGGGGTACTGACCCCCCTAATTAATGCTTAATCACCTGAAAAAAGAGTCAAAACAACATGTATGGGGAGTCAGCCTTTTAGTAGTGAGAAATAGGTTTCTCTGATCTGTATCTTAAATATTAATAAAAAATATTAATAAAAAAGGTAAAATAAAAAAGATAATATAAGTATACATTTTACAACCCCTATAACGGTTCATACCATTAACCATACAGATGTAGTGTTCGCAGGACTACTTTCTCATAAAATAGATGTTTGTTTCCACATAAAACCTAAAATTTAAGTCAAATTAGATGCATAGTTTGTTTAGTTTGACCTACAGCAACCTCTAAAATAGCTAATCACGGGATATTGTAGGTTAGAATACACTAAATATCCCCAGAATAGTGAAAACGTAAATACATTTTATTAATTATTTTATTAATTATTAATCAACTAACAGTACCAAAATTTGTTGACCCCCCTGATCGTCAATGTATAATTTGCACCTTGAAATGGATAATAATAATAGTAAAAAAAGTGTCACTAAATATACTTGGACGGCTTTTAATATACCTTGTCAGCCCCCCCTAGTAAAGCCTATGTGTGGGAAGTACTGGATAGTATCTATCGAAAATATATTAGTACTCATGCCTATAGTAGTTCACTAGTAAATGTTTCTAGTAACAATCTTGACAAAATGGCTTTCACTGAGATTTTGTGGCTACTACATTTTTACATACAATTAGTCATTTATTAGGTTCTAGTACACATATTCAGTTACCTAGAATACCATACTCTTCACTACTGCATTAGAAATGGTGAAACTCTTTGACTTAAGTTAAGCTAGATAAGAAGTCCCTGCTGAAAAATCCAGCTTAAACCAGCCTAGGCTGGTTAGCTGGTTTTAGCTGGTTGACCAGCCTGGTTTTAGAGGGGTTTTGGCCATTTCCAGGCTGGTTTCTAGCCATTTCCAGCCTGGTCTTAGCTGGTCAGGTTGGAAAATGACCAGCCAAATCCAGCTTAAACCAGCTTGACCAGCCTGGTTTAAGCTGGATTTTTCAGCAGGGGTCTCATAACGTGAATTAGTTAATGCTAGTGGAAAAAAGGTAACACTTTATTTTAAAGTGTCCTTGTTATACATTTTCCATGTACATAGTTCATTCATTTATTTCATTCATTTGTTCGTTCATTTTTCTTCGGCTTAGTCCTTTATTTATCAGGGGATGAACGTATTTAATTACCCCATTTTGTGTACATGTAATACATATTATCAAGTAGTAGTCAAATAAACAGTTGCAGTGTAACAAGAACATGCTACAATAAAATGTAACGAAAATAATTTTAAACATGTCATACTTGAGCAGATGTTTGATTAATATCTCCAGCATCTCTCTGTTTTTGTCAGGGAGTTTATGCACCAGCGCATGAACTGCACACACTCTGTAGTTCTGATCGTCAGATTCTGAAAGAAAACAAATACATCAACAAACCACGAGAACTAGTTTAACATGAATCTATTCAGGCTCACAAACGATGTTTATTATGTTATTCACACTCTTTGTAACTTACTGACAGCCATGAGGAAATCAGAGTGGAGCTTGTACGTCATTAGAGGCTCAGAAAGACACCTGGTGGACAGATATGTGAATGACACTTTATTACATTTAAAGGGTCAAGAATTACCAAAACACATATTTTGAGCTGTTGACAGTCGTATATGTGTCCCATGCTGCTAAGACACTATTAAGACACATATATTTCACTAAAAAGTGTAAATTGGTTATTTTTGTGTTATTTCCAGCAAATTCGTACTTCCGGTTTGAAACAAATTTTTTGAAGCTCACGGCTATGAGATCTTAACATGTATTCCAGCATGTAGACTGGAAGTCTGTACCTCGGAGTGCCTTATTAAGTCTCTGAGTGTCCTGCATTAATGCATGAGTAAGACTTGGTTCAAACCAATCAGCGCGCTTTATTGTGCAACTTCATTAATATTCTTTAATGTTACAGTGTTCAGACGGCAGAGAGATGGCACATTGTGTTGCCAAAACAAGCGTGCAGTGTTGCTTTTATAATTTGCTGCAGTGAAGATTTTGTTTTCATTTTCCCTCTATGTGAGTTACCTCTGGACTCACGTGTGTATTACAGAGTACACAACGCTCGACAACAATACGTGTCTGAGGAACATTGTTTACCCGAGAGCTTTCCTCATCTGGAAATGGTGAAATCTGGATTTGCTGCTCGTCTTCTCTTAATGAAGACGAAGCTCTAGTTGGTGTTGTTCGTTCTGTCTCTACATTTTTGGTTAAGTGAGCGACCAGTGGTCTTTGTTTATTCAAAGTTAGTTAGTTGTTTATTCAAACTATTACACAGAGTGTAAACATGTTAGCACCACAATCAAACTTACCGTCGTGGAGGATTTTCACCGCATTTTGTGACAGGAATAACACATACGGCTTTCTGACACTACCTTGCGAGTGCATCTAAGTGTCGGGGAAATGCGGAGGTTTTTTTTCTCTCATTTGCCGTGCGGTAACAAACATTGCATGAAAAATACACGCTTAAAGCAGTTGCTCAAATCAAATATCCCGTTTGAGGGTCATGAATAAAATTCCTGAATGAAAGCCAAACTGCAGTTAAAGTCCACCATTTAATAATTTTTCAAATAACTCGATTACTGATGTCCAAGTAAACACAATCACTGTCTTTCTCCCCAGTGTGTGTGTGTGTGTTTTGACTCTGTGAAAATCAACGCGTGCCCAAACAGACACTCTCATTTTTATGCAAATATTTACAGACCCTCGCTCTTTTGCTTCTCCGACACTCCCCCTAAAACAGAGCTGGACACGCCCACTTTTCTGACTTTTTCCTAAGTAGAGGTGTGAAAAAGCCCTGCTGAAACAAGGGGATCTCACAGCCCTTTAAAGTGATAGTTCGGCCAAAAACGAAAATTCTGTCATCATTTGCTCACTATTTACTTGTCTCAAACCTTTATGAGTCTCATTCTTCTGCTGGAGTGATATTAAATATGTAAGTTTCAATAGCTAATGTTTCAAAAGCTAATCCAAATTCAAAATATGACGATCCCTTTAAATGGACAGTTCACCCCACAAAATTACCTAATTTACTCTCCCATTTTGAAAAATGCTGGTAGCAGAGAAACATCGGCTCCCATAGTAGGAAACACAAAATACAACGCAAGTCAATGAGACCCAACAACTACAGTAGCATTCTTCAAAATATCTTATTTAGTGTTCAACAGAAAAAAGAAAGCCAAATAGGTTTTAAACAAGTGAGTAAATTATAAAAAAAGTTTACTTCTTGGGTGAACTATCCCTTTGCATATTTTCATAGTGGTTTTCATTTTGAATCTCCATTAATAGTAAAAATGACCAGCCTGTGATATAGAGAAAAACTGAAGGACACCTGAGGTAATTCTTGAGGCCGCTGGTGATGGTCTTGTTGTCCCAAGTGTCCGGGTCCAAATCCAGATCTGATGCTGCTTTGGGTGCTTTATAAAGAACACACACAACATGGTTTCTGTACAAATGCTGAAGTACTGTAATATTAAATATGTATACCTAAGGATAGTTTTAATATTTATGTCCTATGAAAAAAATGTCCAAAATCAAAATGTGGTGTTTTTTTTATAGACAGAAAGTATCTGAGACTAGCATTAGCTGCTGTGTAGAATAAAAAGACTTACAGAAGACTGTGGTCATGAGCTTCTGCACTTTTGAATTTATTCCACCGACTCTGTACAAACCCATAGTGTTGAGCCCTGCTGAGAGGAGAATACATGAGCACAAACAGAACATACAGTACAGAAATAAAAACACAAACTACAACACGGAAAACACATTGGAAAATAACACATGTGATTTGGTGTTCAAAGCCATAATTATTTCAGCTTAAAAAAAGGAAATAAATCAAGAAAAATAAATAAATAAATAAATAAATAAATACATAAATAAATAAAACTAATTGATTTCTAATTTTACTTTGACTTGTAATTCATTGCAGACAATAAAACAAACATTATTTAACATGTTACTCTTGATTTTCAAAATAAACAGGTATTTCAATTTTGGTTCTTGGAACACATTTCAAATGAGTTAAGACAGGAGCAGTTTAGGGCTAGTAATCAGGCAAACTGGTTAAATAATGATGTAATTTAAAACAGGTGATGTCAAACAGGTGATTGTAATTATGATTTGGCACAAAAGCAGCATCCAAGAAAGGTCTAGTCCTTTAGGAGCAAAGATGGGCAGAGGATTGCTAGTTTGCCAACAAATACACGAAAAACTTATTCAAATGTTTAAAAACAATGTTCCTTAATGAAAAACATTTGGATATTTCTCCTTCAATAACATATTAATATGTAAAACATAATTTAAAAAATCAAGGAATCTGGAGAAATTTCAGTGCATTAAGAACAAGGGCACAATCCTAAACTGAACAGTCGTGATCTCTGATCCCTCAGTCGGCACTGCATCAAGAATCCTCATTCATCTATAAGCGATATCACCACATGGGCTCAGGACTACTTGGGCAAACTTTTGTTAAGTACCACAATACGTAGTTACATCCACAAATGCCATTGAAACTGTACTTTCCCAAAAGGAAGCCTTATGTTAACAGTGTCCATAAGCACTGTCGACTTCACTGGGCTCCGAGGAATGTAGATTAGAATCAGTATTTCAGGTATTTTTGGGGAGAAATGGATGCCGTGTGCTCCAGACCAAATAAGAAAAGATCACCCAGACTGTTACTAGCAACAAGTCCAAAAGCCAGGGTCTGTCATGGTATGGGGTTGTGTCAGAGGCACTTTTGTGATGACACCATTCATGCTGAAAAGTACATAGAAATGTTGCAGCACGATATGCTGCCTTCTTTTCCAGGGATGCCCATGCATATTTCAGCAAGATAATGCAAAACCACATTCTGCACACTTTACAAAGTCCTTGCTGTGGAGGAAAAGGATACAAGTACTTGACTAGCCTGCCTGCAGTCCCGACCGGTCTCCAACAGAAAATGTGTGGTGCATTTTGAAGCACAAAATGTGACAACGAAGACCCTGTACTGTTGCCCATCTTATGACATTTTTGAAATGCGTTGCAACAACAAAAAATGGAATACGTGTTAATTAAAAAAAAAATTAAATAAAAATATTTAGGCTTGTAACACATACGAGTGATTTGGTGCCCAAAGTAATAATTTTTTTAGCATAAAAAAATAAGTACAAAAATAAAAAAGAAAAAGAGAAATGTGAAAAAAAAACTAAAACTAAATAAATAAAAATAAATAAACCAACAATAATAATTAATTAAATAAATAAAAATAATTAAATAAATAAAAGAAATAAAGAAAAAAATATTTAAAAAATAAATAAAATAAATAATAATAATAAATAAATACAAATATGTATAAAAATGTAAAATAATTAAATAAATCAATAATAAATAATAATAACAATAATAAATAATTAAATAAATAAAAATAAATAAATAAAGAAAAGAAAGATAATAAAAAAAAAAACAAATAAATCAATAAAAATAATCAAATAAATAAATACATACATACATACATACATACATATATATACATATGTATATATATCATATATGGATACTTAATAATACTAATAACTTAATTTCCTTACTTTTATGGTTCATTTCTTTTATTAGAACACAACTTGTTGTAACGCCATTCAGTTTCTACAAAAACAACTCTAACTCTATTTACAATGAGTACTGCAGTAAACACACAACTCACCTCTGACCTCCACCAGTTGTATACACTTCCTCACAAAATTAAAGCCAGTCTCATTTAAATATGCTACACAAAGAAACAAGAAAAAGCATGTTCAATAGATGGATTTGGATTGTGCCACACTCAGGAGGTTTGGGGTTATTCTGCTTTTACTTAATGCAATGCTGTATCGACATTGTTAAAGGAAATAAGAGAGAACAGTATCACACAAAGGGTGTAGTGAAGGGAAACACCACACATTATCTAAAAGAGTGTTGATTAAACTGTTCAACTGATAAGAGCACGCAAGGTCAGACTCAACATTAAGCTCAGTCTAACTGAACAAAACAGAAGACACTTAAAATATATTAAAAAGTAAAGAGAGAATTAAAAAAAAAAAACAAATGAAGCATTTGGAGTAGTGGTTAGAGACAATACTTACTTTCTTCTTTCTTGCTTAGAATAGCAGGAAGATTGTATATCTAAGAGGAGAAACAAAAATGTATTGAATTTTAATCATTGTGAATTACTTATCGAGCAGCACATAATTGATTCTAACATGTCCTGAAGAAAATTATTTATTTCTAAGATAATCAAATGCTAGAATAAGTAAAGAAGTGAAGACAATTTTAATCAAAACTTAATATTGATAATAATACTAAATAAAATACTGTATATACACACTAGTCAACCGCTACAAACACTCCACACTACAAAGACTCATTCATTCATTTTCTTTTTGGCTTAGTCCCTTTATTAATCCGGGGTCACCACAGCGGATTTAACCGCCAACTTATCCAGCTCATTTTTACGCAGTGGATGCCCTTCCAGCCGCAACCCATCACTGGGAAACATCCACACACACACATACAAACAATTTAGCCTATTTCATAGCCCTATAGCCCAATTCACCTGTACCACATGTCTTTGGACTGTGGGGGAAACCGGAGCACCCGGAGGAAACCCATGCGAATGCAGGGAGAACATGCAAACTCCGCACCGAAACGCCAACTGAGCCGAGGTTCGAATCAGCGACCTTATTGCTGTGAGGCGACAGCACTACCTACTGCGGCACTGTAACGCCTGTACTACAAAGACTCAATAGGATAAATATGTTTACTTGTGGATTGTACTGGTTAGGGTGAGTTCAACAAGTAGGACATATTTCTGGATCAACATGTTGAACAACATTCCAATCAGAAAATCTGATTTAAGGGATGCATTTAGAGTTTATTTAATGAATAAGTACTAGTATCTAATGAATAAGCACTAGTATCTAATAAATATGCACTAGTATCTAATGAATAAGTACTAGTATCTAATAAATATGCACTAGTATCTAATAAATATGCACTAGTATCTAATGAAAATGCACTACTATCTAATGAATAAGCATCTAATGAATATGCACTAGTATCTAATGAAAATGCACTACTATCTAATGAATAGGCACTAGTATCTAATGAATAAGCATCTAATGAATATGCACTAGTATCTAATGAATATGCACTAGTATCTAATGAATAAACACTATTATCTAATGAATAAACACTATTATCTAATGAATAGGCACTAGTATCTAATGAATACTGTAAGTACTAGTATCTAATAAAAACAACTAGTGTCTATTGAGTAAGCACTAATATATTTTTAAAAAGCACTAGTAATTAAAGAATAGGCACTAGTATATCTAATGATTAATCATTGGTATCTAATGAATAAGTACTAGTACTTAATGTAAAAGATACTAGTATCTAACAAATAAGCACTAGTAACATGAAAATAGACAGTAGTACGGGTTAAATGTCAAAACGGCCTGTCATACACCCACTACTTTGCACTATATGCTGCTTAACCAAAAATCTCCTTTCTGCAGAATAATTTAATGTACAAAAAATGTGTATACACACACACACACACACACCAACACACACACACTTGTTTGTTTTTGTGAAAAGTGTTTTATTTTATACTGTCCATACCGTATATTATATTGCCCTCACCCCACCTTACCCCTAAACCCAACCATCACAGGAGACTGTGTTCAGCTTTACTCTCTGATTAAACTCATTAAACTCATTGAGAAATGAGGACGTCACCAATGTCCTTATATTTCACCTCCTTTTGTAATACCTGTGTCATATCCATGTCATTATACAGATTTGTGTCCTGATATGTCACAAAAACACACGCACACAAACACGCACACACGCTCGCACGCACGCACGCACGCACGCACGCACGCACGCACGCACGCACGCACGCACGCACGCACGCTCACACACACACACACACACACACACACACACACACACACACACACACACACACACACACACACACACACACACACATATACAGGTTTGCACAATTGTACGCATAGTTTTTGTACGCATAGTTCACACCTAATGGGGAATTAAGTATTTTTATGAGTATATTGGAAGTCAATACACATGTGAGAACAAAAGTGGATTACTCTCCCATGGTAAGAATGACATGGAAAATGCAATGGAGAAAGTGCTTCTCCAGAGTAAAATGCCCACTTAAGTCTTTGTGCACACTTAGGGCTCTATTTTGACAGTCCATGCGCAAACCGCAGGGCGCAAACACTTTCAGGGCGTGTCAAAATCCACTTTTGCTAATATAAGGACGGACAAATCCGCTTTGCACTGTGGCGCATGGTCTGAAAGGGTTGAGCTTATTTTCTTAACGAGTTATAGGTGTGTTTTGAGAATAAACCAATCAGAGTCTCATCTCCCATTCCTTTTAAGAGTCAGTTGCGTCGTGCCATGGCACAGTTGCTATTTACATGACGTAAAGTCAGTGTAAGTGGAAAAACTGATCATTTCCCTAGCAAGAAAACAGTTAAACAGAGCATCTGCAGCGCAAGAATGAGAGATAAATTATTAACTTTCACTTTCGCTCTCGTGGATAGGGAAACCTTGTACACACAGACATCAGTTAGCCTATAAATATTTATTTCGTTTGTTAAGCGCAAAGATAAAAAAAAAAAAACTGTTTCTAAATTCAGTTCTAATTTCCAGCAAACAAATAAATTAACAATAATAACAAAGTGTGCTCAAACAAGTTATATCCTAATACACATGCTATGCCCCATATGGTCTAAAACCTGACAAGAAGACAAATCTGAGATTGTTTTTAATAAAACAAATATAAATATGGATATAATAAATAATACTGCTTATAATGATAACATTATACCAAAGCAAACTGAATGAACTGAAAAAGCCTCCTGAGATGAAGAAGGCATGAAGGCAGTGGTTTTTATATGTATGTAGGCTAGAAAATAAAATGTTTAAATGTTTTAATTATTTTTCATATCTAAAGATATTTGAGTATTGCTCTACATCTTGTGTGTATTATACAGTGTGTAAGCGAGGCGCACAACTAACGCGCTCTGCGCTTGACTATAGACCGGCTTTGTTCTGGTCTAAATAACAGACTATTATAGTTTCTCAAAATAGCAACGCGCCAAAACACACCTGCTTTTTTAGACCAGAACGCCTATAGGCACACATATCAGCGCAAATACATTTGCTATTTACACAGCGTGGGGCAAAACGTAAAAACGACTTTGAAACTAGCAAACAACAATTGCGTCGCGCCTTGCGCCACATTGCGCCGGGTTTATGATAGGGGGCTTAAAGTTTAAAACAGGCAGCACTTTCAAAAACAACAACAGAAAAAACAAACACGCATACAGCTTGGGAAAAAAAAGTTAGTGGACACACGCCCTAAAGCACAACTTGACTTGAAATGGTGCAAGAAAGATGTTTCGTTACTCACCGGCTCTTTTCCGTCCATTGCTTCCAGCCAGAGCCTCCTGTTGGACTCGGACAGCGCTTGTAGAGTGATAATGCCATGCCTGAAGATAACACAGCACTTTACACTCTGACACACTCTAAAAACATCCTGATCAACTTCCTACTATAGTTCTTCTAAATACAATGTGCTAATATATTTCTAAAGAAACTGGGATATTCATCATTAAAATATTTAAATCCACAAATGATGTTCCCACATATAGTCAATTAAAATGAGAGATTGGTTCACATTTACTCAACTTAATGTCATTTCAAACCTGTACATGACTGTTATTGTTGGCTTCATTATAGGAGATTGTACTTTTCTGTAAGTTTCATTCTGCATGTTTCTTTTAAGGTTGTTATGTTTCTTTATTCTGCATCCAGATCTATGTTTTCTTGACATCTTACATTTGACCAATCAAGGCTAATGTCATGATAAGGATGTGATTTTCCTTATCATGACATTAGCCTTGATTGGTCAAATGTAAGATTACAAACTTTGATTTGAAGCAGAGAAGAACATTTTAGACAAAAAAAAAACAAAAAAAAAAAAACAGAAGTACAAAACTTTTTTAAGTGAAGGAATTACAGATGTTTGAACAAAATCTGATTAAAAAGAAATAAATAAAACAGGCTCTGGGAAAAAATGAAAAGACCACTTTAAAGTTATTTTCATCTGTCTGTTTTTATTATACAATTTATTAAAAAAATGTCTTCAAAATAAGAATAATGCCATTTAGATAATGTATTTCCAGAAAATAACATTATTATTTTATAGATGATCTAAATATTAGATCATTTATTTTATTTGATCTTATTTCATATTTGCTCAAAAAGGATCAGCGCCATGTAAGTGACCCCTACGCTAAAATGTAAAAGCATCTAGTGTCTTCTACAAAGATCCATTTAAAATTGTGAAACACGGCCATTACAAATGAGTTTAAAATATTCATTCATTCATTTTCTTGTCGGCTTAGTCCCTTTATTAATCCAGGGTCGCCACAGCGGAATGAACCGCCAACATATCCAGCAAGTTTTTATGCAGCGGATGCCCTTTCAGCCGCAACCCATCTCTGGGAAATATCCACACACACTCACACACGCAAAATTCAAACACACACTCATACACTGCGGACAATTTAGCCTACCCAATTCACCTGTACCGCACGTCTTTATACTGTGGGGGAAACCGGAGCACCCGGAGGAAACCGACGCGAAGGCAGGGAGAACATGCAAACTCCACACAGAAACGCCAACTGAGCCGAGGTTCGAACCAGCGACCTTCTTGCTGTGAGGCGACAGCACTACCTACTGCGCCACTGCCTCGCCGAGTTTAAAATGTTTGTAAAATGAATGTAAAATGTTAATATGTTATTTTAATCATTCATTCATTCATTTTCTTTTCAGCTTAGTCCCTTTATTAATCAGGGGTCGCCACAGCGGAATGAACCGCCAACTAATCCAGCATATGTTTTACGCAGTGGATACCTATCCAGCCACAACCCAACACTGGGAAACCTCCATACACTTTTGCATTCACACACATACACTACAACCAATTTAGTTTACCCAATTGAGGGAAACCGGAGCACAAGGAGGAAACTCACGCGAACACGAAGAGAACTTGCAAACTCCACACAGAAATGACCTGTGTGACCCGCTACTTGAAACAGCGACCTTCTTGCTGTGAGGCAATCGTGCTACCCACTGTGCCACCTTGATGCCCGTAATTTGAATCACTAATTAATTAAATAATAACTAATTAAATGAGTTATTTTAACATATTTGATGAATTTTTATATGTTATAAACCTTTTTGTATTAATTTTTTCATTAAATTGTGTTTCATTTATCTGTTTTTAAAACTAATTATTAAATTATTTTAATCCATTTTGATTTAGTTGTTTGATTCTTTTACGCTAAAATGATTTTTTACTTCTTTAAAAAAACATTTTACTGTTTTGTTTTTATTCTTAATTTATTTTGACATTAATCGTTTCCACAAATCTGATGAAGCCATCAAAATTTGACAATACAAAAAAACAAAAAAAACAAAAAGTTGTTGAAATGACATGCTGCTGAATAAATGATGCTTTTGTGGATAATCTATTCCCTGATATATCAAGTCAAGTCAAATGTATTCTATGTCATAGTCAGTAACTGGAACTTATGTAAAATTAGGCATGGGATATACTACTTCACTTACATAGACATCTGTATCTGTGTTATGAGTTTTACACCCAGTTAAACTGACCCAAAAATATCAGTTACAAAACTTCATGACACATGATTTGCGTTCACTGTAACTGTAAGGTGAGTGTTAGAGCGAACTAACATCCTCTTGTGCAACAGCTGTCACTAATATCAGTGCATGGATAAAGAGCCATTCGCTCAGTTATGCTTTATTATACCACCCGCTTGTTAGAGAAAGCATGATGCAGAGCAGGTTTAAAATGATGGTAAGAGTGGTTCTGGAAGCAACTGTATGCATGTTCATTTTAAGAGTACTAATGTTGGTTTTTGAATTAGTAATGTATTGTCTCGGCCAATCAGAATGTTTAGTTAAAATGATTAGTTTATATGCAACTATCCCGCAACAAACTTTTTTGTTGAAAAAAAAAGCATTTTGCAATGAATTTAAAGGGGGTTTAAAGTTGTGTGGCAACAGTATATGAATAGAAAAATAGCCAAATAGCCTCTAATGAGTAACATTTATTTATTCTATTAAAAAAAAACTATTGGGGAAAGCAACTAATAGAGATAGACACGCCCACTAGTGACAATCTCTCCCTCATTAGCATATAAACAGCCCGAAGTGAGAAGCAGCCATCCGTGATTAGAGTTTTAGCACCGTAACCGTAGAATGTAATGCCAGTGACTAAGCTCCGCCTTCTAGTTCTCATTTAAATTTAAAGCAGCCCGTCAGCTAAATGGCACAATTAGGGTCAAAGCCAAAAAGGGTCAGTTTCAAACTTCTTATACAAACAGTAAGGACATCAGAGATGTATTTTACATCACTGAAAAGGGGCAGAATAGGTCTCCTCTAGAGTAGCGCTGGGTGATATGGCAAAAATGCAATCTTGATAATTATTTTCCATATTGAATGATATATTTTGATATAGGTTGTTAATGCTTCCAGATTTAAAAGAGTACCCTAACAATGACTGAAGCCACAAAAAATAGTGGGTTTATTAAATGGCTTAACTAAAACTAAATCTTCGGTGGACAAAAGAACACCAACACGCTTCTAGATTCCCGTTGTTTCACATTTCTGCTGTGTGATTGGCTCTTAGATCAATATTGAGTAAAAAAGTCCTATCATTGCTATTGACAAATTTGATCACGATTCGATATAATATCGTTTACCAGCCCAGCACGACTATGGAAGCAATGTTAGGTGATACAATCTCAAAGATTCAAAAGGTACATGTGTGTACATAAAGGTTCTATTTGAGTAGCTTGAATGTACATAGAACCTAAATGTTTAGAAATGTACCATTTCGTTTTTTTTAAGTTAATTTGCATGCTTTGAGTACTAATATATTAGCTCATTGACAGCTTTGTATTGTTATTTCTGAGAGTGTTCTGCCCTGTTATACACTCTTAGAAGCATAATAGTATATCTATTGTGTAAATAATATGACAAATCAAATCTTGTATAATATATATACAAGATAATAATATAATATATATACACAGTTGAAGTCGGAAGTATTAGCCCCCCTTTGGTTTTTTCTTTTTAAATATTTCACAAATGATATTTAACAGAGCAAGGAAATTTTCACAGTATGTCTGATAATATTTTTTTCTTCTGGAGAAAGTCTTTTTTGTTTTATTTCGGCTAGAATAAAAGCAGTTCTTAATTTTTTTATGAACCATTTTAGGTCTAAATTATTAGCCCCTTTAAGCAAATTTTTTTTCTGACTGTCTACAGAACAAACCATCATTATACAATAACTTGCCTAATTACCCTAACCTGCCTAGTTAACCTAATTAACCTAGTTAAGTCTTTAAATGTCATTTTAAATTGTATAGAAGTGTCTTGAAAAATATTTAGTAAAATATTATTTACTGTCATCATGGCAAAGATTAAAGAAATCAGTTATTAGAAATGAGTTATTAAAACTATTATGTTTAGAAATATGCTGAAAAAATCTCTCTGTTAAACAGATATTGAAGGAAAAAAATAAACAGGGGGTCTAATATTTCAAGTGGGGCTAATAATTCTGACTTCCACTGTATGTGTATGTATGCATAAATAAATAAATAAATTTTGAGTCTACAAAGTTGAAAAAACAAACAAACAAACAAATAGACAAAAAATATATAGCTTTAAATATAAATGATTCTAACTAAAGCACAATTTATTAATTATTATCGAATGTATTTTAAGATTATTAAACTATAAATATTTGATTAGCTTTAAAACATTCTAATAATGAAAAATAAATAAATACTGTGCTTAATATGTCCTTAATAATTAATACTACTGCTACTATTATTATTACTATTATCATCATCATTATTATTATTAATAATAATATTAATTAATCAATAACAATAATAATAATAATACAAATAATAATATGTATTTATAATATTACGTATAAATAATAACAACAAAATAAAAACAATAATAACAACAACAATACTACTACTACTACTACTACTACTAATAATAATAATAACAAAAACAATAAAAATAATAACATATTATCAAACATATTATTTAATAATTAATAACAAAAACTATAGTTATTATTATTGTTTTATAGAATAATTAAAAAAATATATATTTTTGTAAATGACGTTACTGAAATAAGAATAAAAATACTTTATTTTCCAACTTGCAGAAACAAGTTTATTTAAATTAAATTTAATTAATATATATATATAAAATATAAATACGTTTAATTTCAGTTTTTATTAATAAACAAAACTGTTTAAAGTTTTTGCATTATAAGATTGCTTTCACTGCAAAGAAAACATGTAATCCTACCTAAAGATTCTGGCCAAAAAAAAAAAAGGTATCCCGACGAGCATTTAGAATGACCACCGCATTAAATGTGACTGAAACTGCTGACTAGGCATATATACAGCTCACAATTTTTCCTCATGAATTTGTAATCATTATAAATCTGCCTCTTCGTCAACAAATAAACACATTTACAGTAACTCCTCTGCAACATGCCTAAACCTAAACAGCTTTCCAGTTTGGTGATAAATAAAATGAAGCTGATTTGATGTGATGTTTTTGCTCCTTGATATCATGTGAGCGTTTGTAATTTCCAGATCACAAATGAGATGGATAGAATCACTCAGCCAGTGAAATCAAATCAATCTGCTATCCCATCAATTACAGGATTTTCCAACATGCAATCTTTTAAAACAATGGAGGTGAGAAATGAGCTTTGATCGGCGTGGGATTTCTAATGCGTGAGATTTGACATGCGTTTCTACATGCACAGGGCTCGTCACATACCGGCTTTTAAAGAAAAATTGCAGTGGTCGGAAAAGAGATCCACGATAGACGGTATTTCTAGATTGAAATAAACACAGAGAGGGGACAGGGGGGGAATGGGCACATACAGGGTAAACTGTAAGACAACAACAGTGCAACCTTACACTAGGTGGCAAAGGAAGTTAGATATGTGGCTACTTACCAACAGTGTTAGAAGAACATGCGTGTTCTACTGTGTGTGTCATAGATATTCACGTTCAAATAAATACATAAATGTTTGCCACCTAATATCGTAAGACTGTGACATGTAGGCAAATGCAAGTACAAAAAAATATATTGTTAGATTATACAGTTAGTGTGGGACAAAAAGGCATGAAGAACATGCAGAAAACAGAAATTCAGGCAGTCTTAAAAAACAGGAAGGTCTTATAAAGAGGACATAAAGAAACAGAAGCTAAAGCAAATGTTTGGGTAACACTTTGGGTAACAAAATAGTGGTCCATTAGTTAATGTTATTTACAAACATGTATAAACAATCAGTAAGACGTTTATTGCGGTATTAATTCATCCTTGTTAATCTACGATAAAATAACGATAACTTATTAGGGTAAATAAGGATAACGTTAAATTACTGTGCATTAACACATGCATTAATGTTAACAAGCCCAATTTAAAATTTTAATAATGCATTCGTTAATGTTGAACTATGATTATTTAATGATTTACAATATTATTGGTACTTAGTTAATGTTAGTAAATGGATATTAAATAACATTAGCTGATGGACCATTATTCTAAAGTGTTACCATTCATTTAATCATTTAGTCTTCCTAAAGTAGTAACAAACCTGTAAGATTTTGGTCATACAGTGGGACATTTTATTTTCCTGGGAATAATATTTCTAAAGGAGATGTTGAACCTGATTTTGCAACCCAAGCTCATTCTGAAAATGTAGCCCCACGGACGTTTCTGGAGACCGCGTTTTACGTGGCCGGAGGTACGTATGGCTGCATTTCGTTTTTTCAAGCGAACGATTCGAGGCGGTGTGACGCCGCTCCTCTTCATGTTTGCCGGCTGGGCTGACGGCTCACCTCCTCCGTGTGGAGGGCTTTCCCACCGCAACCAGATTGTCCGTTTAGCTCATCGTGTTACGACAGCAGATTGGAAGCCCAGAGGAGGAGGAGCCGGCCGCGTTTGACGACGGGTTCGAGTCCAGGGAAGAGTAGTTTCAGAAATCGGCCAAGACAAAAAACATGATTCCAAATAATAAAGCGAACGAGTTCGTAACAGGGCTAGAATGCGGTGGAATCCGAAAACGCGGTCAAAATCGGGACAGCCTTTTCTTTTTCTGCACGGCTTTCGTAAATCGTCGCTTGGGTTTAGGGATAAAGGAGGAGAAGGAGGAGGGTGGCCAGGTCGGCCGATTGGCCGGCCGCCCAGTCATTTGTTGAGTCATTCAGTCGGTCAGTCAGACAGACGGTCGTTCGACAGTGGCCTCCAGTGGCTTCTTCCGCGAGAACATTGCGCTCGCAAGAGGCGTTCGAGATGCGAAAAAGCGCTCAGCGGCCTCTTGCGGATTCACAAAAACAAAACCTGCACAAATACGTACCTCCCAGGATGTATTTCGCGTTCTCCAGAAATATCCGCGGGGCTACGTTATCAGAATGAGCCTAGGTTGAGATTTTGGTAAATATATAAACATACAAATTAAAAACAAAAAAAAAAAATCTGAAAAATTTGTTATGTGTAATAACAATGAAATGACACAAGGAGAAAGTGCTGAACTACTGAAGTGTATTTAACATTTTATATAAAAGTCTTTTTTTTTTTTTTGGTGATTGCAGCTTAAAGACGCCTCTCATATGGAGAATGAAGCCACATGAATTGCTCAGCTGTGAGTTCTTCCCAGACTACAACAGAGTGTAAAAATCTTGATAGTTCTGTGGGTCTCGTCTATCAAATCTGATCTTTAATTTGTATTCTTTGGATTCGGATCAGGTCATAGGCTGGTCCATTCTACAGCTTGATTTTCTTTCTCTCTGAAAGCATTTGATAGTTTCCTTGGCTGTGTTTTGGATTGTTGTCTTGCTGAAATCCCCACCCTGGTGTCGTCTTTATCATCCTGCTAGTGTAGTTGTAGTGAAGATATTTATTTACAATAAGGTCACAGGTTTACTGAAGAACTACTGAGAGATTTCAGCTGCTGTCTGGGCTTTCACTGCATTTCTACAGCTCCATTTCTTCATGTGTTCAATTACTCTTTCCCTGTGTCATTTCATTTTATTACACACAACTTTATTTTTAAACTAATTAGATTTGTTCTCTTCACATTTCTTTAGTTGTTATCAACATCTGGTGAACCTTTCAAGTCAACTGCACCTTCAGAACTGCATCTTTCAGAGAAAAATGGTGACGTGTTAAACACTTATGTTTCTTTCTTTACATAGATAAATACAAAAATCTATAAATAAATAAACGCATACATTTATAAATGTTAATTTGTGTTTTATTTTGGGAACTACAGATAACATGTCTTCAAATTGTTAAATAAGAACAAATTAAAATAATGTACATGTACATTAGTGATGATTATAAACAGGCCTGAGTGAGAAGCAGTCATCTGCCATTAAATTTCCAATACATCATTTGTGATGACATTATTTTGAGCTAAAACTTCCTATACATACTCTAGGTACATCAGAGACTTGTTAAAGGGGCATAATAGGTCCCCTTTAAAACGACAAATTTCCCCCACCTATATTTAAGGTCTGAAATTAGTGGAAAAATCAGTCTGGAAATTCATTATATAAGTTTTTCCATTTGAAATCAACAGGTTTATCAAAAACATGAGAGAGAATAAATGACAATAAATGAAGCTTGTTAAAAAAAAAAAAATCAATCCTAGGGAATGTTACATTTTTAAAAGATCTGTACCCACCTTTCTACCACTTCAATATCAAAACAGAAGCGTTTATCAATGGAGTCAGTCTTTCTTCTAATACAAGACTTAAGCCTGAACTTCTCAGGGGGATTTGAAGTGACGCCGTTCTGTGATAACAGATAAATACAGTGAGAATTTGATGTGAGACACAGACAGATGTCAGACTGTTAACTCACTTTTATCATCATTTGCATGAAAGTGCAATTATTTACAGAATAATAACAAGTATTTTAGTATAACGTTTTTAAAACTAGGATGTTGGTTCAATATGAATAGAACAGATCAAAGAACTGTTCATCCCAGTCAAAACAGTCGAAGTTTAGCGGGTCTCATGCTGTCATTAGCCAAAATATCTTGACAAACCACACATAAAGGTCGTGGTTCATCAGCTGGTCCTGTCCACTTAAATCCTAAACTCAAATACTGTTCATCATATCGTCGTCTTTTGGGTTTAAGCCCTGAACTTGAAGGCTTTGAATCGGGGGGTCTCAGAAACCGATCCATTGTATTAGCAGGCATATACCTGTATTGGCGGGCTTGCCAAACAGAAGCGAATTCACAGCTATGGCCTTCTGGGTAAAAAAAGGTTTTCTTATTTTTGACGTATTATTTTTTTTTAGTTTTGTTTAATTAAAACGTTTAAATATAATAAAAAATACATATAATAATTAAACCTAATAATTATATTTTTATTATATAATATTTTTCCCGCGCCTCCCCTGACATGCTCTGGCGCCCCCCAGGGGAGGCGCGCCTCACACTTTGAAAACCCCTGTAGTAGACTATCTGCTTAATATCTGTTGATACAGACATTCAACAGACATTTAACTGACTATAATATATCCACTAACCCTAACCTAACAGTCTACTTATAATCTAATGAGAAGTAGTTGGCATGTAGATGCAGTGCAACCTAAATTCAACAAATGGACCATCCAAATAAAGTGCGACCCAAACAGCAGCTCTGAACCTATAAATCACAACTTTGTACCTGTTTGGCTGCTGGTTTTGCCTCTGTGTTGCACATGCTGAACGTTTGATTATCTTTGTCATATGTACAATAATGACGTGTCCATGTGCAGCCCAAAGGCCCTGTAACATATAAGAGAAGTAAAATGTGATAACCCAATCGAAAAATCATTGTTCTTGTGTAACTAAATAAACATAAACTAAAATATACAGGGCTCAGGCAGCACGGTGGCTCAGTGGTTAATCTAGGGTCGCCACAGTGAAATGAACCGCCAACTCATTCCTTCATTTTCTTTTCGGCTTAGTGCCTTTATTAATCTGGGGTCGCCACAGCAGAATGAACCACCAACTCAGTCTTTTCCTTTCTTTTCAGCTTAGACAATTTATTAATCTGGGGTTGCCCCAGCAGAATGAACCGCCAACTCATTTATTCATTTTCTTTTCGTCTTAGTCCCTTTATTAATCTAGGGTAGCCACAGCAGAATGAACTGCCAACTCATTCATTCATGTTCTTTTCAGCTTAGTCCCTTTATTAATCTATGGTCGCCACAGCAGAATGAACCGCCAACTCATTCATTCACTTTTTCTTTTGGCTTAGTCCCTTTATTATTCGGGTTCGCCACATCGGAATGAACCGCCAACTCATTCATTAATTTTCTTTTTGGCTTAGTCCCTTTATTTAATCTGGGGTCACCACAGTGGAATGAACCACCAACTCATTTATTCATTTTCTTTTTGGCTTAGTCCGTTTGTTAATCTGCGGTCTCCACAGCGGAATGAACTGCCATCTCATTCATTAATTTTCTTTTCGGCTTGGTCCCTTTATTATTCTGGGGTCGCCACTGCAGAATAAACCACCAACTCATTCATTTTCTTTTCGGCTTAGTCCCTTTATTAATCTTGGGTTGCCACAGAGAAATGAACCGCCAACTTATCCAGCATATGTTTTATGCAGTTGCCCTTCCTGCTGCAACTTAACACTGGGAAACATCTATACACACTCAATCACACACATACACTACGGCCAATTTAGCTTACCCAATTTACCTATACCACATGTTTTTGGACTTGTGGGGGAAACCGAAGCACCCAGAGGAAACCCACGCAAACACGAGGAGAACATGCAAACTCCACACAGAAATGCCAACTGACCCAGTCGGGGCTTAAACCAGCAACCTTCTTGCTGTGATGTGATTGTGCTACCCACTGTGCCACCGTGCTGCCCATTAATTGCAATTATATAGAACAGTTATCCACAATCAGTCCTTATCAAAATCTTGAGTGCACATTATATATATGTCCAGTAGAGGGCAATGTTCTTCTTTCCTAGACCAAGTCATTTCCTCATATCATATCTGAAGACATATAATGATAATCACATATAATCAAGCGCTATTTACATGTGGACGTCTTATTTTCTCTGCAACATGAAGGAAAATGAAACAAAGAACAGGGTAAGATTAAAGGAAGGTCACTTATAAGATTGAAATAAATAAACTTAAAAACCAAATGATAGACTCTTATCATCATGCTTTGGAAAAGTGTCTGGTATGGAAAGCCACAGAATATCTTTCCTTCTGTCTATAAAAACACTCACGCTTCTCCTGGACATACAGGTAGCCTTCCATAGTCCACTGGCCCGGGGGCTTTTGATCCTGATCTGCAGATCGAACCCGGTTCATCAGGTTTTCCACTTCCTGCTTAGTGCTCAAGAAGTTGTTTCTTGTCTTTATCCAAGATGGAAAATAAAAATGAAAACAAATCATGGTTACTTTAACTGCCGGTATAGAACAGCTTAATCATTGATCTGACAGATGTGAATGCTTTAAAATACATGGATATCATTGATGCAAGTAACAGAGTGCATTAGTAGGAAGGAAGTATTTTGTTCTATAATTGTCTATGATCAATGGTTAAGCTTTAAGCTACAAGCTACAGTAGAATAGAATCACAATATTACAAAACTTTTATTTCAAGCTAAAACAACTTATCAAAATCAGACTAAAAGTCAAATGTACTGTGTACTAAACTGTGTCACATCGTGAATCACACATTCGAGTAAAAAAATAAATAAATATAAAATGATTAGTGCTGTCAAATGAATAAATTGCAATGAATTGCATCCGTGATAAACATTTGTATTTACACAATATATACATGTGTACTGTGTACATATATACATATATATATATATATATATATATATATATATATATATATATATATTTATGTATGTATGTATGTATGTATGTATGTATGTATGTATGTATGTATGTATGTATAAACACACACACATACTGTAGATAAAATACAAAAGAAATATATTTATATATCTAAATACTGGATTGTCTCGAGGCACAAGGCTGGGGAAGGTTACAAAAAAATTTCTGCTGCTCTGAAAGTTCCAATGAGCACAGTGGCCTCCATCATCTGTTAGTAAAAGATGTTTAG